GGTTAAGATGAATATAGTGAAATGTCAAAAATAAAATTAGAACTGTTTTTAAGAAAGCTTGTGAAACTGGTCTAGTAATGAGGTTCGTCTCCTAGGACATAGTCATATGGAGTTTCAGTAGTGTGGTCTTTCAAGGTGGTGTCGGGCTTATCGTAATTAGTGCTTGGCCAGTGATTCAAAATGGTTCACAGTTTTCAGGGTAGGAAAGACTTTGATTTTCTATATTTCAGCCAAGTTTCATGAAAGCCTGATAATTCTAAGAACTCTATTGATAACACAGCTATCAATTTTGTCATTTAATGCAGTTCCTCAGTGTAACTTAACATTTTGATATCAGTATTGGTTAAAGATAGTTGCCCCCCCCGCCCCCCGAATCAGATCGTTGTTTGTTACCACTCGTCGAGGGTCAGTGTCAGTTCTTCTGCCACCTGGAGAGTTTCTTTCAGGCCGTGTCTGCCTCTCTTGTGGCAGCACGCAGCTTATCAGTTAGGAGTTTTGTGCACGGATGCAGCTTGATAAACGTCCACTGAAGTTGACAAATGAACAGAAGCAGGGTCTATCCTGTGCTCAGCTGATAAACCACGATTAGATCCTGAAACACATGACGATGGATTTTTGACACTCAGGATGCTTTGGGCTCTGGCTGTCTTTTTCTGTCAACTCTCTCTTTGAGGGACTAGGTCTTTCCCTGCTCCTGGCTTTCTTTTTTCCCTTCCTATATCTTGCTGGTGTTCAAGAACCTTACTCCTTCTTAATATCTCCAAAGCCTAGTTCTGTTGACTACTATCTAGATGGCCTTCCTGAAATCCATGCTTCTTCCTCATTGGCTAAAAGGCGAATATAATAATAATAATAATCAGTACGTAAAATGATTGCCATAAGGATTAAATGAAATAATTTGTCAGCAAACTTTTAGCACAAGAGTTCTCAAACATAACTGCTTGTGGAATCACTTGGGGAATTTTAAAAATTCTTTTATCTATTTTCTACTCCCAAATACGTGGGCATCAAAGTTTAGAGAAACAAATTTGCGACACAATTTCAGCAGCAATGCCTTAACTTATTGTTGGTATAATAAGCACTCAAATGTTAGCCGCTATTGTTGGCATTCTTATCATTATTTTTTGCTGACATTTTTATAATAAATTTCAAGCCAGATGTGCAAGAAGCTACTTTTCATTTCACTCAGTCAATCTAGAAAAGAGGATGTTAGCAAGAGAGACAGGAGGAGGGGGTCAGTGAAAGGGGCTTTGGGGATTGACAGGCAGGTAGGAAGTTGATGCTAATACGTATGTTTGAAAATCTGCAAGTTGCCAAAGAAAACCCTGGCTCAAATTGGAGAAGTAAAAAGATATGCTATATATCATCATTATATTTTTTTAAAGTGGCTGGAACCTATTGAAAATGTTAATGGAAGTGCACGGTTCAGGTGAAGTCTCTTTCAGCTGCTTAGTTCATGTCACCAGGGATCAGGTGCTCGGTTTTTCACTGATCCAGCTTCCCAGGTGCTGGCAGGAGTCCCTTCTCCATCTTCACGTTCTGCCCTGTGCATGCCACCCCGGGCAGCTCCTGGCTTCCCCACACGGTAGCTGATCTACACAGTGTGGGCATGAGAGCGACCAGCTCTTCACTAAAGCATTCCAGAATGACTGCAGTATACATCACCTTGTGAAAAAAAGGGGGTACAGCCTGGAGGAGGAAAACTAAATAAACCTTTGATTTATTCAGAACCAAAGCAGCAGCAAAACTTAGAATAAAATATTAAAAAGTGTAAAGATTATTATGCGCCGAGGGAAGCTTTGAAAGTTGGGACAAAAGGCAGTGTAAAGTGGAAACAGATTGTGTGCAAGACTTCTGCGGGGGCTTACAGACCGCAAAGGATGGAGGAACATTTGTACAACAGAAATTTAGCAAAATACCCAGGCACCCCGCAAATATTTATCTGTATATTCATGTTATTTCTGTTTTTCACAGCATCTCATTATATAAAAATTCAAGCTCAAGTGAAAAATGAACTGTTTTCCCTGCCTTCTGTGATTGAAATAACACTTATAGGAAATGGAAAAGCTTCCATGTGCTGACCTGTTTATGAATTTAAATGTCACTTCCCATCATAACTCATACCATTCTGGATCTACTTTTCTGTCTATAACCTTTGTTCAAGTTACCAGTTTTGAAATTTTGCATCGAGAATAAAATGGGAGATTTTTTTTCTTATTCCAAATGTAAAAACCAAAAGAAAAAAAAGTCTTATCCTTTGAAATCTAAAGTGTATGTAGTTTTTCTTGCTTATTGCCGGGTTTGTGAAGCCCATGTAAGGGCCAGGTGCTTTGGTTTATAGATCTCGCACTTTCTGGATCATCATTTCAAAAGGATCTTTGCTTTTAAAAGGGTTAATCACTGTGGCTTCTGATCTGTTAGTAGTTCTTGACCCAGAAGATCAGTTTAGCGGCTCGGCTCGTGTGCAGCATTCATAACATGAAATAGACTTGACCAGATTGAAAATAAGTATCAGTGTCATGTGGAGAGCACATAGTTCCGTGAAACTTTGTGTGTGTGTGTGTTTATGTTATTGGTCACAACATAAAGTGTAATTTTGACTGTAGGTGTGCATATCAGAAAGTTGTTTGAAATGGTGCTAAAAAAGATTATTTCTTCACCCTCAGGATCCTTAGGAAGTATTGAGTCCTTCGTTGTTTTGAGAAGTAGATGAAACTAGAAAGTGGGTTCAGCTGCCAGCTCTGCGGAGCTTTAAGGATTCTGTGTCTTCTGTGTGTGCCTCCCCTTCCTCATCTGTGAAATGGGTGCATGGTTGAAGGTGTGTTAGTTCTTTTAGCCCTTGATTCTGCCTTGTGAATTGGGAAATTAGTCAAGCCAAGGCTCTTCAGTCTTACAGATCTAAAACTGATGGCGAGGAAAGTTACATAACTCCTAAATTAAAACTCCTTACCTGGGTCAAACAAATCAGGTGAACGTTAAAAAAACAAAATTAGGTCACGTTGTAGGCAAGCAGAGAGGATTAAATACTTATGGCAGACTTCACAGGTGGCTTTTCCAAAGCAATTCTGGGATTGCTTTTTGTCTCGATGAGGTTCATTAAGTGCTACTGGCGTTCAGCTCTCAAGGTGGCGTGTGGCAGCATCACCAAAAATATTTCTGTAGTTTGACTTTCATACGATTTCATGCAAAGGAGAGTGCTTTACGTGTTACTATCTGACAACCAGCTCATTCTGCCATAGAGGTGTCTAACCTGCAGCTGACAGGCCAAATGCTGATTTGGGGGGCCTTATTTTGTTTATCTATGGCGTGGGTATCAGGAAAAGTATGCACAGACCTACTTATTTTATTTTATTTTATTTTTTTTGCTAACCAGCTTTTATCAACCTTTGTGTATTCAATGTAGGGCCTAAGGCAACTCTCACTCTTCCAACTTGTGGCAGAGAGAAAAAAAAGAAAAGGATGGATACTCTTG